GTCACCCGGGGCCCGTTGCGTCACGCCTCCCCGCCCTGCGCGGCTCCTCTGCCGCTTCCAGTGACGCCTCCCGGGCCTTCCGCGATCCCCCGCCCCGCGGAGCCCTGGGCCGGTCTCCGTGCTGTACAAGCTGACACACGTGTGCACAAGGACAGTGACGAGAAGGCCCCAGGCGGAAAGAAAACCATTCAGGACGCAGAAAACCCGACTCCGGCCACCTTTTGCGTCTCTACGGGTTGTGTGTACCCGTTTACCAAAAATGTTTGGGTTCCAGCAGCGATGAGAGCAGCAAGAATGTTGGGGCTGTCGCCCCACCCGAGAGCCTGGGCAGCAGGGCCTGGCTGCCCTCGTGGGCCACCCAGGCCACCGCACACCCCACAGGACATAGCTGCAAGCACAGGGATGCAGGCCCTGGGCCACGGGCGTGTCCCACATGGGCCCGAGGTCCTGCAAGGCTGACCGCAGCCTCCGAGAGCCCTGGCCACCACCTTTCACCAGAACCAGGCCCAGGAACTCTGAGCCTGCTCCCAGATGCCCTGGAAATGGGCTTCTAGAGACCCCCTCCGACAACCACCACCTGCCAGCTAAGAAATGGGAGGGGAAGGTTTCTACAGCACCTGCCTCCCCCGCCCCATTCCGAAGAGAACAAGCATGTCGAAGCACTTAGAGAAAGCAGGTAAACCTCAGACTAATGTTTATTAAATGCTGTATCACTTAGCTACAATAGACTTATCTTTACAAAACTAACTTTTGTAGTAAAAACTCTGCCCTGGCCCTCCCTTGGCAGCACCTGAAACTCCAGGCGGAGGCTGGGCGAGGCTCCCGGTGCCCCCTCTACGGCCTTCATCTGCTGAGCACCCCAGGGGCCCACCAGTCCTCTACTGCAAATCCCTGGGGTTCGGCATGGCCTTGGCTGAGGTGGGCTCCATCATCCCTGCTTAAAATAGCCAGTTTCAGGGGGCTTGGGGTCACGCTTGTGAGGGCCCCAGCAGCCACACCTGTCAGAGCTGGGCCCTGGGGTCCGGCACTGCCCGCCAGCTCGACCAGGACAGTCAGACCTCCATCAGTGCGACCCGCGTGGACCGCAGTCAGGCTGGCGAGTCATTGCTTCCTCAGTCAACACCGAGTCTGGCGGATCAAGTTTGCCATGGGGGCATGTCCCCTTCTGAACCAGGTGGGCCCTGTGACCGGGGCTGTGACCGGCCCTGTGCTACATCCTGACAGATTTGTGGTGTGGATGTCACTGTGGAGCTTGGTCTTCAGCTCGGTGCCCCGCCCCTTCCCTGGCCTCTTGGAAGCAGCAGAAGGCACATAGGTGCATGCTCCTCCAGAGAATGGATGTCCCCCACAAGCACACAGCTAAGGGAACAAGGCTGAGCAGCCAGTCTCTTGCCCAGCCCCTGATGGGAAGCTCAGGGTCTCCCTGGGCAGGGAGCAGGCAGGGGCCAGAAAAACCCGGGGTGTGCTGTCACCCTGGAGTGGCACAAGATCTTCCCTCAACTGTCTGGCTCTGCCCAGGTCCCCTCCGTGGGGCCAGCAGCAGGCTCAGGGACAGGAGCAGGGCTGATGGCAGCCGGGCTTGGATGAGTTTGGGTCTGGCGTATAACCAAAGGGCAGGTGTGCTCCGTAAAATTAAGGCAAGTGGCCCAGATTAGGGCCATCTGGGGCAGACCCCAGGGTCTCCCACAAGACAGCTCAGGGGGCTCCAGAATCCTCTGGAGATGGGCTCAAGACTGTGCTCTCTGTGACCAGCAGCCACCCAGACCCGGGGGAGGAGAAGGCGAAGGGGGCAGAGGAGCTGAAGACCACCCCACTGCCCCGGGGACTTCAGCGGAGAACTTCCTTTCTGAACAAAAGCCCGTGCCCTTCTACAGCTGGCTAGGAAGCCCCGGCCTGGAGGCAGCAGTGGGGGTCCTGGCAGGGCTGGCTAGACGCCCCCCAAGGTCACTCCCTCGCCCTGGCCCAGCCAGCTCAGCGCACAGCGCACACATCCAGAATGCAGAAACGTGCACGGCAGGTAGGGCAGGGCACACGGCTGGCCAGCCAGGTGTCCGGGCGCTGCTGGTCCTGGCGGCTGGCGAACCACTTGCCCATGCAGGTGAGACACCACATGGGGCGGCAGTAGCACCGCTGGCACTCGCTTTCCGCCACCTCCTGGCAAGTCTTCACCAGCTTCACGCTGGCCCGTGTCTGCATGCAGCCGATGCACGCCTCCAGCTCCTGCAGGCGGCATAAGGTGGGTCACAGGAGCCCGAATGGACACCCCCATGGGGCCTCCTGCCCCCCCACTCCGGGGATCCTGGCCCATGGGGGCCCGGCTGTGGGAACCCACCCGTCCCCGCCTAGCCCCTCACCTGGCTGCTGGGGACAGAGTAGACCGGGTTCTCCTCCACCATGGAGGCAAACGTCTCCAAGAACAGGTCGCCCAGGCTCTGGCGGATGACCACGTTGGCCGCGCTGCGGATGGGGGCCCGCAGCTTCTCACACAGCTCGCCGTACTCCGTGGAGTTCAGCCTGCATGAGGCAGGGGCTGCTGGGCTGAGGCCGCTGAAGCGAGGCCCCTCCATAGGGCAAGCCCGGGGAGGCGGAGGTGACCGGGGTGCCCATAACCACACAGCGTAGGAGCCCAGCCCAGCTGCCCTATGAACACCAGCCCACAAAGAGGGCGCTGAGGACAAAGTCCAGACCCGGCACTGCCACTCGCCCCCACGGGACACAGGAAGGCGGGAGGACTGCAGGTGAGACACGGAGCGCCTGGCCCTTGGCAGGTTCAGACAAGGCACGGCCAAGGAGGGGCTCGACAGGCCAGGCATGGCGCGAGCAGTATGGAGGACCTCAGAGGCGAGGCGGCCACCAAGCCTGTCTCGTCCGGCCCCCAGACATCCCGGTGTGCTCCCCCGAGGAGCAGAAGGCAGCTCAGGGGACAGTGTGGGTGAAGGGGTGATGGAGGGTACCTGCAGGGTGTGAGGGGGGAAGGGGGCCCGTGGGGGGGACTGGGGGAGGGTCACACTAGGGAAGCCACCCCCACCCATCACCACCTCTCACAGGAACACAAAGACCAGCACGGGGCACAGGCTGGACACGTGCCCTTCAGCAAGCCCGCGCCCCACCACCCCCGGCCACTGTAGGCACACCTACCGGATGTCAAAGGCCTGCACGGCAGGGCTGGCGCCGGCCACGCGGATGGTGAGGAGCTGCACGGGCAGGTTTGAGTCTGGCGAGAGCTCGTGCTGCTGTGACTCCGTCACGGTCAGGTGCACGTCCTGCTGCTGAGCCACATGCACCCGGTACGTGGTCACCTTCATCACCCACGTGTCCGTCACGATCACACGGGCACCTGGTGCCCCTGTGGCAAACTTGTCAATCCGCCGGAACTCGGTGTTGACTGAGGAAGCGACAGCCCGCCAGCCCGACTGCGGGAGGGCATAGAGGGCCAGGGTGCGGGCCAGCGGGTGGCGGGCCCACCGGTCCCGGGACCAGTAGTAGATCAGGGTGCAGGCAATGGTGGGCAGCGTCACCGCCAGCAGGAGGAAGAGCCGCCAGGCCTCCGGGGCCTGGCCGGGGGAGTAGAGCCGCTTCTCCGAGGCTGCAAAGCACATGCCCACGTAGTAGCCTGCAAGGACAGGGCGGCCTCAGCAGGGCTCGGGCTGCCAGGCCCTTGTCCTCCCCTGGTGGTGCCCACCGAGGGCTACAGTACTGTCTCTGCCTCTCCCAGGGGACCACTTCCTCTTGTTCCCCAGCCCTGGACCTAGCATTCTACCCTGATCAGCTCCCAGGGCAAGGCTGTGGAACCCCAGGCCAGGTGGGTCTCACCCACCTCCACACTGGCCAGGCTCAGACCCTCCCCACAGCAATGAAACAATAAATGAAGGAAAAATGTTTATAACTTGCCACTTAAATTTCATACAACATGAATACAGAAAAACCAGGAAGACCTAGAAAAGCAAAATAAATACAAGGATCTGATGTCACCCAACACAAAGCTGCCCACTGGCCCCTCTCCTTGGCCCTGACCCCACCCCCTGTGAGGAGGCAGATCAGAGCATGGCCCATCCTGAGCTGGGTCACGTGGCAAAAAGTAAGCAAAGAAAGATGGGGGCATGTCCCAGAACAGGGTAGCCAGTGCCCAGGCCCCTGCAGGCCAGATCCAGGCCAATTTGCATGTCAACATGACCATTTTAAAATAACTGTCATATTGCAATAGATGTTATATCTATAGTTTCAAGTTTTTCAAAGAAAAGTGAAAAAAAAAAAGGCGTGTGTCTGGCCACAGACCAAGCTTCACTAACTTCTCCAGGTGTGGCCTCCTTGAATCACTCTGCTCCCTAAGTTCTGGTTTCCTGCAGACAGCCCTGCCGCGATTCCAGCCTCACTCAGCCCAGGCGCCTCCCCACTGCTCTCCACACAACAGGGCTGCTGCACCTGGCTGCCAGCTGAAAACCCCTCCCTGTGTCCACAGGGCTATGGGTGGGGCAGCCACCAGCCACTTGCTGTCCCAGGCCTGCTTCTGCCCCCATGTCCTCCAGAGAGCCCCTGACTGGTAGCCCCCACTTCAGCCAGACCCCAACCAACCAGCCTCCCAAAGGCCCGCTAGCACCTGGGTCAGTGCCAGGCGTCTATCCGTCCTGGCCACACACAAGCTTTCCCATCTCTGCACCTGTGACACCGCAAGGTGGTGTGACCCATACCTGCCTGCCCTTCTCACACCCACTTTCCATGGCCTGGGCAAGGCCACCACCCCCACCCTGCGTTGGAATCAGTTAACTTATGCCCCCTGCTGGGAACTGCCGCTCACGTGACAATTCAAGACCTGTGCCAGCTAGGCGAAGCATCCTCTCTCCAGGGCTCTTGGTCTACGTTTCTGCCACCTGCAAACGGCCAGCTGCCACCAGCTGGGACACACGGGCGGTTGGCCCACAGCCTCTACCCTCGAGGCAACTGGGAGACCCGGCACCTTCCTCCGAC